TGCAAATATCAGAGGAGAACTTGTAGTTTTGGTGGCAAGAGCCCTTAACTGCTAAGCTACCTCAGTGGCCCAACTGGGAAACGTTTAACTGTAACCACTCTAATAACTTCAAGCTCCTCAACACATCCACCCCAACTTTATCTTTCCCAAGCAGAAAATACCTACTCAGGGGGTATTCAAGAGTTTTATCATAGCTGTCTAGCCTATGGTTTCCTAACCACTTAACTCACACTGAGGTAAGTTCTGTTTGGTCTGAGTTTTCTCCTATGTGACAAAGACTTGTTTGCTGTCAACTACTAAGACAAAAGTTGTAATTAGAATACAGTAAAATATAATACAATATCTTAAAATTCAGACCAGAAAATTTAGTCCATGAGAAGGAAAAATTAAGCAATTCTAATGGCTAGTGGCAATGATCACACAGTGGTTTGCAATGACTGTGAATTCCCATGAGTGCTTAATTCCTTTTCAAGGACTTTTTAAGATCAAGATATTTTTGACAATAACCCTACCATATAATTTGACTTTCTTACTATGTGACATGTGCTCTTATGTAATCAAAGGGGCCGGGCCTGAGCACAGTTCAGGGCAATGGAAGCACACTGAATTAGTGGTATCCTAGTTTCACTACCTGCCTTTGCAGCAAAAGGGAAAAAACAAAACAAAACACATTTGTTTCATTTAAGAAAGCACTTGGGGATATAGTAAAAATTGTTCATATTATTTACTGAATCTCTCCAAAAAATATCTTTTAATATTATATACAATTAAGATATAATGATTATCTTTAGCATGAATATTTGTATGAATGCCCGACTTCTGAGATATATATAAAATAGCTGCTTTCCCTAGGAAATGGAAGTTACCTGAATGTATGCTAGACACATATATGTGCCAGAGCTACATAGTCAGACCCTGTAGCAAACACACAAACCAATGAAAAGAAAAAAAAAAGACAATGTGATTTATAGATTTGTCCTCAGTTTTCAGATCTAAAACAGTACATACTTCTAGGTATAATCTAGACAAAGGCCTTTGGTGTTGGTGTCCTACCAATTTTGTAAAACTTTATTGTTATGAGAGTGTGTGCACTTGTGTTTGAGTGCAGGCACATGCATGTGTCTGAAGGCAAGCACATGTATGTGTAGAGGACAAAGAACAACCCTGTGGAAGTGGTTCTCTCCTGCCACATTTTCATGGGTTTTGGGAAGAGAACTCTGGTCATCAGGTTTCTGTGTAAGAGCTTTCACCTCTGAACCATTTCACTGGCCCACTAATTTTAAGAGTGTGAGTTGGAGAAGAGGGGCCTTGACAAGTGTGAGCTTTCACTGTGTTCTAAACTTGCTTTGACTCTCCATCTCGAAGTATGTCTTTGTGCCCATTATGATACAGAAACAATTACATAAAGACTGGAAGCTGGTATGATGCTTTACTATTTGGAAAGAAATAGCTTAAAAAAATTAAGGATTGCCAAATGCCGTGTTTCTCACAGGTCTTTCTCTAAGCCATTTCTATCAGCTGTGCCATGCTACAGATGTTTCTAACAAGACATTAAAGACTGGCTAGAAAGAAGAAAACAATCCGTCTGCAGGGAACCCAGAACCTACTAACATACTGTCAGTTATTTATCTCCTGTCAGCACACACTGTACACTATAATCCTTGACAATCTCGAGTGAGAAAGGCCAAAGAAGGGCAAACCTTGTTTAAGGGTCTGCTCTCCTGCAGACATTTTAACAGAGAGAAAACCAGAATGAATCTTGTAAAAATGTCACTTTTGATTTTGATACATATTCTACCAAGGAGGCTCTACATTTGGTTGACTTAGTACAAGATATGTTAGAGGCTAACACTGTGTTTGAGACAATTCATGATCCCATCATGGAAGAAACACAGTGAGGTCTCCATCACTTCATTTCCAGTTAGCTACTACAATTGCCCAATTACATGACATATTTTGTATGACACGTCTTATGACAGTGCTTCTCTCCTGTCCACTTCTCATTTATGTATATTCTGTCCTGAAATACCTCTCTGGAAAATGTGCATGGCCAATCAAAAATGCAACAGACAGTCGAGCTTCCCATAGCTACTCAGAAGAAAGACCCGAGTTAAAGTGGCTCAGTTATAGACAAGGGCACAGTAAGCCTAAGCACGGAGGTGGGAAGGAACAGGGTCACATAAAAGACCCAGACAACCCCACTCATTTCCAGTGAAATCTCGCTTTCCTTTAGAACACAATTCATAGTGATAGGTCAATGATGGGATTTCCAGCCATACAACTAGAAGTCTAAATGAATGTGTGCTTGAAGCTGGGGATGAATGCTGAAACAGAGTCTTAATTTTCTAATTCATATTCACCAATTAAAAATAAACTGGATTTTTATGAGCAAATTTACATAAATCAGATGATAAAGCACCTACCACTAAAGGGTAGAAATTCAGCTCCCAACATTTGCATACATTCTCCTAAAGAAAACATAGGCATTTTAGCTTTTCATTGAAGAGTCTTGCTGTGCCGGAACTCTAATGGGCTTAGAACAGTAAATTTTGAAGAAACTGATTGCTACCCCTGTAGCTAGTAAATGTCTGCCTAGACCCAGTGGCATTTGAAAAAAGTGTTTTATCATAAAATTATCCCAGCAGAGTCCATTCTGCAAGATAACATCATCATCATCATCATCAGTACTCCATGCAGGACCCAACAGCTCTGGCACAATATTGCCAGTCATTTATCTGTTGTCAGCACAGGTTACACACTGTAATCCTTGACTGCCTCGGAATTAGAATGTCTTTGATGTCCCCACAAGAGTTTTTTGCCCGAAGGCTTTACCAATGCTCGGCGGCTCAGTGTTTATTCCTCCTAATCTTCCTCTCATCTCCAGGCTAGCAGTGACAGATGGTTATGGGCACACAATAGTATTAAGAGTTTGATATTTTTTTTATGCTGTGCTCTCTGTACAACAAATAGCTATCAGACGCGGGCCAGAGAGCTGCCATGGCTCGCGTAGGTAATGGCAAACAAACAGCTCGAGTTGATGCTTTCTGTCATTTCCCCTCCTAACCCTGCTTGTTTTCATTGTATACTCTCAAAGGTAAACTATATTAACCTTATAGACTGTTATTAAAAAGATATATCTATATGAGCATAAAGTGCTTTTCTTTTTTCTTTTTCTTACTCTTTTGATTATGAAAGTAATACTGCTGACATATTGAACAAATATCGAATGTCAACATAAATTTTTAGTGTGTGATAATATCCCCTTCATATAGCTGGGTGTCAGGCGGGACCCGTGGATGATGCATAGCAGTAAATAACCCAAACAAAATTAGTTCTCCTGTCAGCTTCTACCTTGTATGTCCCCAGGCATCAGTAAAATTGACTGCACGCTAGATTTTCAAAATTAGCCCTAATGTTAGCTATGTGTCTGGCAACCTCCAAGTTTCCAATGTTCTACTATATTACCCGTAAGGATGAATGTGTTACTTTTATATTTTGGCATTTACTCTTGCTGATGCGGCTTTTTTCCCCTGTTCTCCAAATTAAAAATAATTTAGCTTTAACAATAAGAATGTGCACAAACATCATGCTGCATCTCTTTAAGCAACTATCTTTAGGCAATTAAATTAAATTAAAGCAAAAATATACAAAGGAAGAGGGAATTATTCAATTTAATATTGTTAATTTTATTAACATAGCTCTGTCTAATTTTGTGCAAAGTATTGAATAACATGGTTCTCAATCTTGCCTCTATATTGTTGTTTTATACCCACAGTTTCCAAATTGTTTAACATTTTTATGAAAATTCAGAACCAAATTTTTTAGAATTGACTTTCTTGCAATACCTATTCACTTAGAAGCAAAGGTTAATGGAACAAGAGAGGTTTTTCAGAAGGCAGTAAATGAGGATGTGTATTTTACCTTCAAATAGGGTTCATTTCATCCTGACCCACTGCATCTCAAATCACATGAAAGAATCCTGAGTCTTGTGACACTCTGAGGACAACATGATGCTGGAAGGGTGATGGGGAACAAACAAGCCCAAGACTGCATCTCATAACAACGCTTAGCCCCTAAATTTCAGGTTCATGCATTTAGAATCAAAGACAAAATCCCTTTAGGTACCAGATGCTGCAGATCAACTGGGAGAGCTGGAGGAGTTTTAATGTGCTTGGAGGCAAATCCTGGGCAAAGGCTCTTTCCTGCCGGTGTGTGTGCTTATTACTTCACCTGCAAACAGTTGCTCTCAATCGGACCTAATGATCAGCCCAGCACTGCTGCAATAAAGAGGCCATAATCTGTAGGGGAAGCAACTCTAATCAGGCCACATGCAGATTAAACTAACTGGGAGGAATAAAAACTAGATTAAAATATTCATGCCTAATACCAGAAGATTATCAGGACATTTTACCTCCTTAAATCCTAATTTATAGAAGCCAGGGCTAGGTTTATGAGTTTATATTTGGTGGGATTATATGCTGCATTGACTTTCCTGTGACGAGAAGAAATTCTGTCTAGCATAATACAAAGGCATTTGGCAGGAGGCAGACGGCTTCCCATGCACTAATACACTATGACAAGTAAAAGGAGGCCGTCCAGTTGACACTGGTCAAAGTAAGAGTAAAGAATGGAAACGATTGTTTTTACCAGTGATGTGATTTATTGATGTCCATATGTGAATTAATCCTGGATTAACACTCTGTGAGTACATAATGGCATCTGATTTTTCTACTTTGAAACTTCTTGTGTCTGGCTGCTACTGCTAGTTGAACAAATCATTACAAACATTATCTATAATTCACATATAAAGTAAAAACACAACAATTAATGTACAGTTACAGGCAATGCTGCCTTGGTACTGTACTAGTATAGTACCATGTGAAACTGTAAATGCAAATTCAAGTGATCTTTTTCTAAAGCTACAAGCACAGCAAGTTAGAAAGTCTACTGTCAAAACCCATTTTGTAAAACTCTTAGTAAACTAGCATGTCTTGACTTACCACCTGTGAGGCCAAGTGATGTGCAGCGGTCTTGGCTGATCATCAACTCCACACAAAAGGTTGCTGGGATCAAGAGGTAGAGTTTTGCTCACAGGAAGAGAGCATGAGTTATCTTTTGACAGGCTGGACTTCTCTAAGTCTGATTTCTGGGTTGAGTTGTCCAGGGTTTCTTGTCCAGCATCAAGGCCAGGGTGTTCATCAGACTTGGATTTCATATTCCCTGGTAACTTCTTAGAATCCCTCTGCTCTGGTTGGGAAGGAAGCATCACCGGCAGAGCTGCAACACCATTTCCACTAAGGCCGAGCATCTTCCTTAAGTGGGCTATTTTGTGTCTGGGCATGAATCTGTTACAAAAAGGGAATGCAATATGCTTTTTGTGAAAAAAAAAAAGTAAAATTAGTTCCTTACCTTCCTATAAGGACACAGTGACGACATATAAAACTGAGAAAAAATAAAAGATGTTATGACAAAAGTTCTCAGGAAAATGCAACAAGTATTAGTCACCAAGAGAAAGCTCAAAGGTTTGAAGTTGATCATAACTGTCTTTGAATAGTTTCCACAGAGTTTTTGTGGCTACAAACGTGTGTGGCACATACTGTAGACCACAAGACTATAGATGTAGTTTACCATTTGTCACTCATTTGTCTTTCTGGATTTCCATTTTGTATTTTCCAGTCATTCCAAGGCCTAGAACCTTTCTCATCAATCACTAACAATGTTTGAAACTTCCTTGGTGAACTCTTGCTATTTCTGTTCATGTGGCTGCTTTGTATTCCTGGGAGCCTACATATAATTTCTATTAAACTGACTTGGCTATTATTTCCGGAGGCATATTTTACATTCTGTAATTTTCATTTCTATGTTTTCCTATAATGCTTTTGTCAAACAGAATTAAATATGCTGTTGATTTGCAAAGAACCTAAATAAAACAAAACTCTGAAAAAAATCCTAACGTAACCTAAAATCAAAGAGCCACCAATACCATTACAAGATCTAACCATCTATTGGGATCAAACCACGAGGACTTAGAGTGGAGAGAGGTGAGTGAACAGCCAACTAGCCTATATGGGCAGCACTTTATACTCACCAGACACTTCAACTTTTGAAACTGGGGAATAAAAGAAAACTCCTGACTTATAGATCAGTAAAGGCTTAAAGATGGCTTTATTGAAAGATTTTGCAAGGCAGGCAAGTTCTGTGTTGAGAGGACAGTAGAAGAGCTTGTGTGGGAAGAGGGCCTCATCTGGAAATAACACACAGCCCGGATTCCTGAATGCAGGACTGGAGGAGCTGGCTGGGCCAGGTGAATGAACTCTCAGAATTCTGTGAGGCATCCAGAGTCTAGGCCTCTTCCTGAATTGTGCAGTCAGTGAGTACATAGAGAATACATGTACTTCTGAGGGAGGTGGGGAAGGAAACGCTTGGAAGCAGAATAAGAAACAGAAGTGGAGAAAGTGATCTTGAGAGAGTAATGCCATATTACAGAGATGAACCAAAGGCCTCCCTCCACAGGATACGTCAATAGAAACACGAGACCCTTCAGAGGGCTTGGGGGACGGTGGCTCAGCACTTGGCCCTGTCCTATGTTGATGGTTGCTAACGCTTACACGGTCTCTGTAGGGTGGAATAGGCACAAACCCTGCAGAAGAGCAGGGTATATGAGTGAAAGGCAGCAGGTAAGCACAGGGACTTAGGGCTATTTCCCTCGGGACATTTGCTAAGTAAAGAAGTAGGATTCTGAAGACAGGAAAGCCTTGTGAAACAGGAAAAAATTATAACATATGTGATGAATGGCAGGATTTATTGGAAAGTGGTGGTTTGTGAAAGATAATAAATGGTTTTCCTGCAAAGCTGAAGAAAAAAGAAAAGGAAACAGAAAAATAAAACAACAAAACAAAACTGTTTCAGATACCAGTTGTGGAATCTAAAGACTTATTTCATGAAGCCATTAGTTCAGGTCCCCTTTTTCAAGCAAGTTTAATAGAGGTGGAGATCAGAATTAAAAACTTATACATGCATACATATATACCTCCTTGGGAGGGATGGATGGCCAGGAAGTACATGCAGCAAAAGATATTCAAAAACAAACAAACAAAAACCAGGTGCCTTGAGGAGTGAGAACAGAGAGAGAGAGTTAACTGGGCCTAACGCCACACCTGAGGAGCAACACTAGAAAGCATAGGGGAGTGTAAGTGAACTGAATAGCCTTTTTATAGCACATCATGGAGATTCTACAATCAAAAGATGTCTTCAGGGACTTGTTTTATGGAGACTCCTATCTCTTCTGATTTCAAACAGGTAGAGAAAAAAATCAATGAGATACATGGAACTCCTTCCCTCCCCAGTGCTAAGCAGATGGCAGCACAGGAAGAGAGACTACCAAGAATGGTTCCAAGTCTGTAAGTACCTTAATAACACAATAAGACAGCTTTGATTTAAAATGGGAAGAAGCCTGGGCATGTACAGATTGTAATTCCATCTCATAGGTGAAGAAGTTTTAAAGAGACAAATGAACTTTCTTCCTAAAACAAATTCAACATATGAAGTGCATTGAAAGCTCTTACTAATGACCACATGGGTATTTGTGTATGGATGTGACAGATCTTTACCTTCCTGAACAGAAGGACAAATGGTAAGAGAAGAAGCCTCCAGTGTCAGACACATCTGGAAAGCAGCAGAAACGTAAGCTAACTTGTTTATGTAGATAAAGAATGCCAGCAAAAGGAAAAAAAAGATTCGGAAAAATTACAAACCATGCACAAAGGATTCACAATAACAAATCAATGGGCATGGAAACAACATCTTCATTTTTAGAAAACAGTATCATGACCAATCTTACTCTATTAAAATCCATTTATACTGTCCAGAATGTGAGACAGACTGCAAATGAAAAGAGATAGGAGATTGGCTAAAGGGCTATAAACTTAGGAGCTGATAACTGACAAGGAATTTAGTGATGGTCAGTTTCTAGCCCTGACTGTATTCCACATGCTTCACAAACATTCTCAGGGATGATCAGACTCTCCTATTAATGCCGGTTGTGGCAGCTGCCTTGATAGGTGGTAGTGAAGAAGGACATGGAAGACGCAGGCTATAAACAGGACAGTAACTCAGAGCTTACAAATCCCACAAACCCATGCAATCAGAATCAATCTTGAAATAAGGATGGATGTAGCACGAATCTTAAAAGTTCTTATTAATAAAAACAAACCCAGAGCCAGGTATTGGGGTGAATGCTGGAAGATCAGAGGAGCAGAAACACAGCCACCTCACCTTGTCAATTCCTCAGCTGATCCTGTTTCCTCAGACTGGAAGTCTCTGATACTCATCCGGAATGAATCTCAGCTGAACTGCTGCTAAAAGCCTAAAAGCTTAACCAGCTCTAGTTCCTGGTCCTCACGCTTTATATACCTTTCTGCTTTCTGCCATCACTTCCTGGGATTAAAGGCGTGAGTCACCATACCTGGCTGTTTCCAATGTGGCTTTGAACTCACAGAGATCCATCTGTGATAGGATTAAAGGCGAGTGTGCCACCATTTTCTGGCCTCTATGTCTAGTGGCTGTTCTGTTCTCTGACCCCAGATAAGTTTATTAGGGTGCACAATATTTTGGGGAACACAATAGTACCACAGATGGACATAAGGAAAATGTCACCAAAAACATTTGAACTAGCACAGATGAGCAAGTGCTGACTTGGCCTGATAAACTGCACCCTGGGTTCTGGATCCTAGTGCACAGGTAGGAAGAAGCTGAGTCTCTGTGAATGCTGATTTTACCGGGGTGCCTGACAACTGTATATGTTTGAGAATTAGAGAGATCTTAGAAGAGCAATAATAATGATTAAGGCAATGGAAGTGTTGATTTATGAGGACAGATTAAAGGAGCTAAATATGAATGGCCTGGTGAAGTGACAAGTAGACGGATACATAATAGGCGTCTCCAAGGAGAAAGAATAATTATTTAGCCTGGTACAAGGGGGTATAACTAGGAATAATGAGATGAAATTAAGAATGGGAAATTTTAAGCTGAATTTCAAGAAAAACTCCCTGACGGTATAATTTATTAGCTCATAGAATAAATTCCCCATGGAATGCTAGAGCTAGGGAAACTTAATAATTGAACTGGACAAAATACCAATAAATAACATAGATAACAATCCAGTACTTAGAAGAAGGTGGTTACAAGCAATTCTTCACTTATTTATACATCTTTTCACATTTTTAAAACAGTCTATTCATTATATTGACTGTCAGCCAAAGAAGTATTTAGGTATTACCTGGATTTAACAGGGCACCTCCTTTAAGTGGGCTAAGTTGAAAACACTATTCTCATATACCTTGCAACAAAAGTAATAGCATAAAATCAAAACATTTTAACTACTTTATTTCAATAAAGCTGGCTTTTAGGCAGGCTGGACAAATACATTAATCTGAAAATGAAACAAAACAGTATCATTTCCCATCCACACAATCTGAATCTGTTGCCTTGGTGCTCATATCTTCATAGGCATGTTTATGCAAACAAGTTATTGCCATAAGAGAAATTAAAAATAACACCTTTTCTGCCTTTCTGAATGCAGCTCTGTGGTCAATTACTTCTCATCAATACTAAGTTCAAACAGGCAGAATACTAACAAGCAGTTTGCTTAATAATAGTCACCACTCTAATTAACCCATCCAGTACATTCTTAACCAGACACTATTTATAATCTATAGTTAAGAGATGCCTGGCAATAGACTGTTCTGACGCTTAAAAAAATACCTTAGAGATGGGCTGACATGGAAATGGACAGAACATCCTGGCACTAACCTACAGAAACTAAAAATAGGCTCAAGTCTCAACATTTTCTTTTCTTCCTCAGCTCCGGCTTTGGAGCTGCTAATGAAAAGGGAGAGAGAAGGTTCTAAAATAAGAAGAGAAGAAAGGACAAAAGAAAAAACACGACCTGCCTTTCAGAGCAGGTATCAGGAACCTCTCAGAAGCACTGTCAGAAACTTCCAGGATTATGGTTACTACACTCATTCCCATGCTTCCAATCTGTTATTAGCCAGAGGACTCTTCCTTTGAGCTCTTCCCCAACCAATGGCCAACATATGAAAGAGACTTCCTTCTTGCAGCCTCTCCTTTCAAAACCTAATCTTTTCTATCTCTGTCCCACAGTCTCCAAAGATATTGTCACAAAATCCCAGGACCACGCCAGGCAATGTGTAAAGACAAGATTAGGCAAATGTTTTCTAGGTCTAAATTGAGATCCTTCCCTCCTACCCTTTGCAAGTCCATGCATATAAACATAGTGCTGAACACAGTCAGGAGAACCAACAGATCCTAAATAGTTTAAATGATG